GCAAGGTAAGTATAGTATGGGATCATCTTTGTTGTCCTATTTACCTTAATAACATTTACTTATATGCATGTGTCTACCTTGATACCCATAGAAATTTATCCTAATTATTTTGATATCCTGATTCCTTGACACCATGGGAAAATTTACATATGGGTAGCTGATGTTAGTGCTCAATTAATTATGATCATGAACTGTAACTTAATTAATGGAATATGCAACGAAAAATAAAAGATACTTTTTAGCAACATGAATTAAAGGGTGAGAGCATATGGCTTTATACATTATGCTCTTGTTCTTCCTAAGGACTTATCTGTAAGTAATCATCCGGGACTTACAGTACAACTATGAGTGATATATGGCTCTGGCTTTAGTTCAGTATGATAATCTTTTCTACCTTGTTAGTGGTTACCGAAAGGTGCAAAAGAGGCATGACGAGCTGGGTATAGTGTAGCCTCTATTCCTATGAGTACTTCTACGTGAATGTGCCATTTAAAAGAGGTCTCTATATCTCCTTGCCACGGAAGCCTAGCGGCCTTAACTTGTTAGATCAACCTTTGAAAGACTTCGTAGTGAACCCCGCCGACCTTCCTTGGTAGTGGGTTAAGAGAGTGATCACCTCCGGCGAAAAGAGTAAATCATGGCTCATGGTGAAAGTGTACAACCTCTGCAGAGTGTAAAACTAGTATATCAGTCGTGCTTACCGACACGAGCGGCCTTGGGATCCTTATGGAATAGAAGAACACATGTGATGAATTTGTTTATGCTATATATTATTCTTATTTTACATGATCATGTGGTCATATAGGCTTATGCTAAATTTGTTGCTACTCAATTGTTAAAATTATGATTCACTAAAGCTAATCGTAGTAAACCAGTGTCAGCCTTTTAAGACTCGTGAACCCTATGTTATATTTGTTAAATACGACATATATTTACACTTGCTTTACTTTTTATTACTTGGACAAAAATCCCGGATGGATAATAAAAGATGGAGCTTGGTTAAAGATTTTGAGAAGTGCTAGACGTATAGACCCCCAGTCAACCGTCCCAGTGGTGTTTGAAAGCTTCACTTGAAGATTAGAATGTTAAATTTCTGCTATTCTGATAAATATCTTGTCTCTATGTAATATCGTTGTTCGTTATATAATAAAGCATTGTCTCTTGATACTAGTGTAATTTATCATCTCATGTGTGTGACTGATTCCTGGGCATACATAGGATTCTACAACGGATTTTGTCCTTAACATCGGGTGTGATAGTTCGTTTTGCTGAAATTTAACTTATTCTGATACTTATGCTAAAATATTGTGATAGAAAATACTATTTGTTCGCTGAAAAGCACAGTGCAACAGAACAGGGCACCTCACGCGATTTTTTATCTGCAACAAAGAAATCTCGATCGCCGCATGGGTGCAATGCAGTGCGGTGCTTGGCCACGCGATCGCCAACTAGTAGTAGCTGATCTGATTACTCTTTCTCAACTAAAAATGGAAGACTAATTGGAACAAGCTGCATGCGTCATCGGATCAGGAAACAGTAGCTGACAGCCCCAGTTAACCTGCAGCTGGACCAATGCAATCCGTCGGTGGCCTACCCAATCACAAATGGTTCTGAAAGACAACACGTGCTGGCGCAAGGATGAGCCGCAGTGCAGTCAGGGGCAGCGACTGCTCCCTACAGTCAGGGGCATCCGACCGTTCACTGAGATCCCACGGCAACCGGCTCCCAGCGCTTCCTTTGCACCTGAGTCTTCCAAGCGCCGCTGGGCCTTGGCCCAATTGCCCAACTAGCACAAAGTTTTGTTCGGCTGGTATTAAAGCCAAATAAAATTAATTTATTATGAGAGAAAAATTATCTGATAAGCCGGCTGACAAGTCCAAGTGAACGGGCCCGTTGTTGCTGGCATTTTTGGCACGAGGTGCACATGCTCTTAAGTTCCTGGCACGAGGGTAAACCTTAGTCGGTGATTTTTCCCGGTGGCCGCCCAGCAATCCACGCCGCCCTGGCCATCCCCGCCGCTCAGAGGCCGCCGCCCGGCCATCGGCGTGACTGCTTCTTCCACGACGCTGCCGCAGCCATCCGCGCCGCCTGCAACTCTGCGAGGATGCCACCACAGCCATCCATGCTTCCCACGAGAATGGCGCAGCCATCCGCGTCTCCTGTGAGGACGCTGCCATAGCCATGCGCGCGGCCCGCCACCATCTGCACGCCAAGCACGAGGAAGAAGCTCGAAGTCAATCCGTGAAGATGAGGCCGATTCAAGACTGCGGATGTCCGATCTGGACGGAGAAGGAACAAGGGGAGGCGGCAGGAACGAGTAGCGGCGCCGGGAACGAGCGGCGGTGGGGAAGGAACGAGTCGCCGAGGAAGATACACGACAAGGAAGATGGCGGCGACGGCGAGGAAGACAGCCTGCTCAAGCGTCGCGTGTCGTGGACTGCCTCCCGTGTAGCCTAGCTTGCTAATATGGTTCTTTGGATGGCAACGAACGGCACAGATGCGCCGACTGCAGACTACAGTCGATGAGGCTGATTGCAGGGCATCTCGTTCCGTGCCGTTGGCTGCCATCCGAAGGAACATATTAGCCAGGAGCCCATCTAAAGCCCATGAGCGACGCTTGAGCACATTGTCTTCTTCGCCGCCGCTGCCGTCTTCCCTGTGTATCTTCCTCAGCCACTCGTTCGTTCACCACGGCTGCTATCACACGTCCCTGAGCTAAATACTTCATGCAAGCCTGTGAATCTGACTTCCTCCCCTTCATGTTGCCTTGGCGCTCAGATGCTGTCATGGTAACACCCCGTGTGTTAGTCACGAGTTAAGCAGTGAGTTTGGACTCAAATAAGTTATGTCAAGTGATGATTGAGAGCTCTAGTCTAAATTTTTTGAAGTGGTGATGGAGGTGCTGAGGTCAAATCTATGAAAATAAGTCCCAACTTGAACTCGGACAATACACCTTGCTTACATGTTTGACCCTTTTCAAATATAGGCTTGAGTAGTGTTCAACATGCCTCTTTCATGAGCATCACCTTAGCATCAAGCCATCTTGACCATTGGGGAATTTTCATGAAGCTTAGAATCGAAAGGTCAATGGAATGACAAGTCATGTTCTTGCATGGATTACTTTGTTAAGTGAATGGGAACTTGTGAAGTTAACCAAACCTTGCTCAAACAGTCCTAATTCAACTCATGAACAAAAGTTATGAAAGGTTCATATTGAGCAAGTGTCAAGAAAATGCTTCAATGGATCAAAAAGGATAATTTAAACTTTATCGTGATGCTGCTTTGACCAAGATGAAACTATGATTTTGGGACTAGATATGAAGTTTGACCTTAAATAAATGTTTAAGTTTAAGTTATGCATAGCAAACTTTGTTTTTGGACCCAGCCCTAAATCAATCTGGAAGCAGGTTAAATAGAGGCTCAAAGTTTGAATCTGATGCTGTTTTGTCCTTAAATAATTCTAAGTCCCTGATCAGCAGCAATGAGTTGACATGTTTGTGACATTTTATCTTCCAAATTCATAAGGCATCTCAATTGAATTCCTTAATATGAGTTAAGTACTATCTGTGGAGATGACAACAAAATAAGTTTCATCAAGTTTGGATCCAGTTTGGACCTTTAGAATCAGCTCCCAAAACAGCTAGATGCACTAAACTTCCTTGCCGATGCCTGAATGTTCTAAGTCTGGGATTCAGTTTCATGTACCCCTCTTTGGAGCGCTGGTTCTCTCAAACTAACCCGAGTTAGACCAAACTCTTTTAAGCAAACTTGTAGTAGTCATTTAGCCCTACAAAGTTTACCACAGTGCCTTAAGATAAGACTCCATGGTTTAGGAGTTAGAAGGGGAAGAAGGACGCAGTTTCAGTCGGCTTGAAACTAGGACTCAGGATTCAGTTTTGGGTACCCTCCTTTAGAGCTCCATATCTTCCAATCTAGGCCGAGTTAGCTCTGGATCCTTAAAGAAATCTTGTTCACCTCGCGAAGATCTACAGTTTTGTCTCTTGCGCCGAAATCAATGGACAACCAAATCGGGAGATAGAGGATGGGAAAGTTGGCAGTTTCAGTCGTTTACTTGGCTTTTCGGATCAGCGGGGAGCCGGTCATGGCCGATAGCGTGTAGTTGCTGGATGCCGCGTGCCTCGCGCTCTCGCCTGCATGCTCGCCACCTCGTCAACGCTCGCGCCGCGTGGAGATGGGAAAAGCCCAAGCGCTCCCCTCCCTGCTCTCCATTCTGCTCTCCCTTCCTCCCTCTCGCTCTCTCTACTTGCCATGCCCGAGCAGTGGAGCTCCGTGCTGCCTCCCCTGCGCCGCCTTCTCGGTTGCGCAGCCGCCTGCAGCTTAGGACACTAGAGCCGTTACCGCTACGGGCCATCTGCCCCCGTGGCCGGTGTCAGGTATCAGGATTAGCGATACCTGGAAGAAGGAAGCTGATGGCCGCGAACGCTAACTCCCTCGGATAGGTCAAGAGTGTATCTTGGTCTCGCTCGGCCTCGAGGGTACAGGCTCCATCTCGTCCGACCTCGAGGGCGCTGGCTCTGTCTCGCCCGACCCCTTAGGCGAGAGCCTCGTCACGTCCGACCCCAAGGGCGGGGGATCCGCCTTGCCCGATCCCAAGAACGCGGGCTCCGTCTCGCTCGACCCCTCGGGCGCGGGCTTCGCCTCGCCCGACAGGATTCCACACCACCCCCAACTATTACGGGTCTAAGGGTACGATTCTAGAGTCAAACTTTTGACGCCAGAAAGGGAGTAGGCGTGTCTTGACGTGACCCGTGGCCATGATGGACCATACCTGAAGACTCACGTCGCCAACAGCGTTGGGCGTGCCAACGCTATGCTACCTAATCCCCATACGGCCTCCGACAGGGATATCTGCCCACCACGCCGCCCGCGCGGGATGGAATGGAGTACCATGACTAGCTGACGATGCCCACGTACAACGCCAGTGATGAATAGGGCCACGACATGCTTTTGTAACTGTGTCCCAGAGATTTGATGTCAAGATGCTGATGAGACACATTCTCAGACAAATTATCCAGCCAGTTTATCAAAAGGGTTTTCATGAGCCGAGAGCTAGTGAAACATCCTTGGAAGACCTTCTCAAGGGCATGGAAGCATGGGACGTGGGGCAACTTGCAAGCATGCTGAGGCAGCAATTGGAAAACAAGATATATCTAATTGTTCTTGATGATGTTTGGAGCATAGCTGCATGCGAAGCTATTCGATTTTCTCTGCCTGACTCAAACAATGGTAGCAGAATACTGGTTACAACGCGAATCAGAGCTGTAGCACACACCTGTTGTTTCCATGAGTATGACCGAGCTTACGAAATCGAACCTCTCACAGATCATGAATCCAGAGACTTGTTCTTTAAAAGGATATTTGGCAGTACAGTTAATTGCCCGGATAACTTAAAGGAAATTTCAGAAAAGATCTTGGGAAAATGTGGGGGTGCACCCTTAGCTATAGTGAGCATAGCAGGTCTCTTGGTCAGTAAGCCAGTGCTAAGTAAAGATCAGTGGCAGAAAATTTATAGCTCTCTTGGATCGGAGCTTGAAACTAGTCCATCACTTGAGAGATTGAAGAAAATACTTGAGCTAAGCTATAATGATCTTCCTTACCACTTGAAAACTTGTTTCTTATATTTAAGTGTTTACCCTGAGGACCATATTATCAGAAGGAAAAGTGTACTGAGACGATGGGTAGCCGAACGCTTTGTGACTGAAAAGCGTGGACTTTGTGTCTTTGAAGTGGCAGAAAGCTACTTCGATGAGTTCATCAATCGAAGCATTATTCATCCTGAGGACATGAGCTTTACTGGGAAGGTCAAAACATTACGAGCTCATGACGTGATGTTAGAGATTATTGTGTCAAGGTCAATTGAATAAAATTTTATCACTCTGGTAGGTGAACAGCACATTTCAGTGCCACGAGAAAAAATTCGGTGACTATCTGTTCACAGTGGAGACATGAAAGATATTGCAACAAGCAAGATGTTATCCCATGTCCGGTCCTTGAGCATATTCTCTGGTGGAGAAACACTGCAGTTTGGTTGGATGAAACTATTGAGAATATTAGATTTAGAAGGTTATGGAATTCTGAGGAATAGAGATCTCAAAAATGTATGCAGCCTCTTTCAGTTGGAGTATCTTAGTCTCAGAAAAACGCACATCATGGAACTCCCCGCACAAATAGGAAACCTGCAGAAGTTGGAGACTCTGGATATAAGGGAAACGGGTGTCAAGCATTTGCCTCCAGGCATTACCTATCTTCCTCACTTAATAAACTTACTTGGAGGGAGAAGATTTTACAATCACAATGGATTGTGGCCTGTTTCTGAGTTTTGGGGGTTGCATGTCCCTAACAAAATTGGCAATTTGGATGCACTTGAAACACTTGAGCAGGTAGAAATCACAGAGTATGCTTCCCATTCCATTAGTGAGCTGGGGAAATTATCTCGTTTGAGGAAGCTTGGGGTAATGATGTTTGTTGATGATGACAACAGCTGGGCATCCTTGATGTCTGCACTTGAGAATATAAGTAGCAGCTTATGCTCATTATTACTTTGGCGTCCTGATGGGACAATGAACTTCAATTCTCTTGATTCATTATCAAGACCACCATTGTTTATGAGAAGTATTGACTTTCGTGGTCAGTTAACAAAACTACCGAAGTGGTTCCCATCTCTTTCTAACCTCACTGAGTTAACCCTTCGTGCAACCGAACTAAGTGCAAAGGAAGACCTGGAGGTGCTTGCACGGTTGCCTAGCCTAATCTACCTTCGGTTGCATCACAGTGCATATGTTGAAACCTAATTTGCTGTTGCTGCATCAGAATTCCCAGTTCTTAAGTTGCTTGTCATTCATCTCGCCATGTTTGAAGCTTGGAGGGCAAGATTTCATGAAGGTGCCTTGCCTAGGCTTGAAAAGCTAGAACTGTCATTGTTTCAACAAGCTTCCATCCAAGAGGTTTCTGGTATAGAGTTCCTTCCTAATCTTAAGGAGGTTTCGGTTTCTGCTTGTCCAGACAACACTATGGAGGATGTCATTCAATCTCTGAAGGATGATGCCAAGAAGAACCCTAGTAATCCCACTGTCACTTTCAATACGAAAAAGTGGGTACCGATGAAGGCAAGACAGATCCACCTTTAGATCATAGGGGGAACCTATGGTCTTCATATTTAGACAACTCTGATGATTTGTAATCTCTGATCACTCCCTTCCATAACTGAATTATTATGTCTCTGCAATGCTGTCGGTTGCACTCACCTTTGGTCCTGTAGTTTCGTCTCACCGTTGTTGGAGTATCATCATTGATTCTGTCATTAACTCATTAAGATGCAGTGTTGTCATGAAACAATAGCAGCACAGTTGCAAATTTTCTTTTGAAAAAAAGGAGGATAAATTGCCAATACAAATCAAATTAATCTGTGAATTATGTAGAAGTGTCTTTCTAGCCTGCCCCAACTTGCCTAGGACAGGAAGGCTTTGGGTTTTTTTTTTTTAAGTATGTTTGATTTTGCTGTTATGCAATTTGATGTTCAAAAGCGACAATAATTTCTCTGGCTCCAAAGAGAAGTCCACAAATGGTGCCTAAATGTGCTTCACCAATAATCTTGTTAAGGAATGTATATATAAAAAAAAAGTCGTATCGCGATTCTGATTCAGATGCTACAAAAGAGCGATTTGCCAACAATTTTATTGCCAAGGGCGAACAGAGGGGACGGCTGTAGATATGATGAAAATGGAAGAGTGAAACACTTGGGTAGCGTTTGGTTAGGGCAGGACAGATACAAGGTGAGAGATCTTCCTTCATCTACTGATTGATTTGGAGACACGGGGGACGAAGTAAGAAAATGTTCTCTCCAGATTTTGAGTCCAAACATCCCCAAAGTTTGAGCAGGCCACCTCGTCCTCATTTAACTCTTCTTCGCATCGTGGTAGGCCATGACGCGCAGGGGGGCAAAGGGGGCATGGAGCATGGAGGGCGAGGGCGAGGCCAGGAACGCCCGGCGGGGGCGGTCATGGCAATCGGAGGCAAGAGCGGCTTGCGGGTGAAGGACAAAGAAGACAGTGATGGAGGATGACATGCGGGCCCCACTTAGCTGTCTAACAGATTTAAAATGACCATATATCCTCTCCCTCTACGTCCCTTCTACCGAACACAAAACACGAACACAAACAAGGATACAGAACGGGGACATTCTCACTCAACCAAACACAAACATGAAATGATCTCATTCCAGAAAAAGATCTCCCTCCCCGTCCCATGTACCAAACCAAACGCGAAACAGGAACATTAACCAAACACAAAGATGTGATAGGGACGTTTCCATTCCCTCAACCAAACAGGCAAACACAAATATGAGATGGTTCTGTTCCAGAAAAACTGAAATGGAACTAACCTCTCCCATTTTTTTAACCAAGCGCAACCTTCTTGTCCCCAAACTAAACGTAGCCTCAAGCAATTGAGCTATATTGGTGGAACCCAGCTAACACAAACGCCAAGACTCGAGCAAAATTTACATTTATGATTAGTCGATGGTAATGCTGCATTCGATCGATCTTATGTTCTCTTGGGCCTTGGCTGTCCTTGGAGTAAGTCGCCCAAGTCATGACTCCAGTGAAAAGAAAGAGACAGATAGTCCAACACGTCATGCTATTACTTGCTGAAACCCAAACTGAAAATTCCATTTGGTTCTTGTTCAGCTCCCAACCAAGGAAGCCATCTGATAATGCCAAGGCCTCGTTAGTCAGTAGCCATGACACCAACATCTCAAATGAACACCATGTAAACGTACAACTAGGGGGAACAGTAAAACGGGGCACAAAGTGCGTCGGGTGGTACTTAACACTAACTCTATGTTCACAAGCCCACAACCCCATAACCCCATCCTAAGCATGGGGACCAAAAGGCAGCGGCAGCTCGTTGCCAATTTCCATGAAACAACAGCCCTTGCGTGATTCCGCCAGAGTAGTGCAGAGTGAAGAGATTCCAGAAGTAACATCATCCCAAGGCAGCACCGCAGCAGAACTGCATCATACACAACATATAAGCCATCCATCAGACCTCGGCAAATTGTATATAATAACTACATAGACAAAGGATCATCAGGTCTCCATGGTCATTTAGATGGACAGGTTGTGTCTACGACCTAATTGCTTGTGTGGGAAGGACAACACAAATTTTCCTTTGATGCAACTCAGAGAGAAAGTGCAGTTCAAACCATAAAAAAACTACGGGAGGCCAAGAAAAGTACAACTTGAACAGTAGTAATTAGTATGGCATGGGTGCAGGAAATTGGTGGTTGGCTGGCCTAGTATATGGGCAGCATAGATGGCAAGGATCATTTCATCCGTTAAAAACACCTGTTCTGAAGGCCTGAATTACATGGTAGATAAAACACAACGAAACGGAATAAAAACAAAACATGACAAGGTGCTCCAAAAATAAAGGCACAACTGGGGTGACATAAGCATCACTTTCTTAATTTTATAGAATCTACACAAAATCACCAGCTTAGCTATATTCTTTGTATATAGTAGGACTAACAATGGCAAACATGCCATATCATTATTCTGCATACCCATTATTTGCTATATGAAAAAGTTGCAAATGGCAAACCACAAGATAGATGCTGAGCCTAGTGTTCAGCCCAAGAAAGCAAAGGTACAATTGCAGCATGTGCAAACAATAGAACACCATACAGAATTTGGAAAAAAAAAGAACCACTAAAAACCAACCATATTAAGCCACAGCATTTGTTTACAGCTAATCCAACATGTAAACTGAGAAGGAACTTACCATGAGCTGGCCTTCACCCTCGGTAGAGCCTATATATCACTACTTGTGAAGAATACTCTTCTTGGGAATTTTAGGCTTCCTTTGGACATGATTCTGAAGGATGGAAAAGCATGGACGAAATTAGAGGACACACGGAGAGGAACACGCATAAAGAAGGAAATAGACAAGTACCTTTTGTCTTTCCAGAGCCTCAACATCTGTCCTCTCCTTCCAGTTACTCTTACGCAATTTAATAGGGCGGTTCCCAACATACTTTCCTGAAAGAAGTTTGTTCAAAAGTTACAAGGGGAACAGTCAACCAAAATATGCACACAAGTGGCAGCAACTGAATCTGCAGAACATATTAGAGATACAAACCATTCATCTCTTTTATTGCTGCAGCCAGGTCAGTAGGGTTTGAAAAGCTTACAAATCCATAACCTTTAGTTTTGCCAGTCCTCTTATCTCTAACAACCTGAAATAAAGAGTACAAAGGCAAATTAAGAATGTATAAAATCAAGAAATGCATGCCAAATGCTGCACATAATGACTGACATAAGCCCCGCTACTTATAACTCAGCATATGGATTTCTTTGTTTGTTAATCTCTTAGCTTCTCTCTCAATCAGGTAGATTATGCTTCTTTAGGCGAAAGGATTTATAAGCATCAAAGGAAGCAGAGAACAAGTTCAACAAAGTGTAGATTGTTACTACAAATTTCTTCAGGGATGCATAAGCTTATACGAACCCCGTTGCTTTTGTTTTGGTTTTTGCTACTTCATGTGATAAGTCATTAACAAACAGCCATTAATGCAATTCTCAGAACTAGCTAGCATGAAGTAGCATATTACTATGAAAAGATCCATAGAAAATATCTTCTAACTGCTGGTTATCTCCAATGCATACAAAGTTTTATATAGAAAACAGTACCACTATGTGCATCGCTGATGTTCTGTAAACTGCTAACATTTGCAGAAATCAGTGTTATTTTGATTTGGATTTCTCATTTCTTTATATAGTCCCTTGGCAACAGTGGAAAATCCGTTTTAATGCTTGCCAATCCTTCTCACTTCTTCCATACTTAATTATTACACCTTACTAGTGACTATTAAGGAACTCAGTACATCTGAACGGCTTACAGATTTATGTAGTCCATTATACAAAATCTTTTCCATGTCATCATTTACCTACTATAAGTAACCTTGACAGATCTAAAGTATTCATGAATTTACTCATTCCAATCATACAGGACATTTTAGAGTTTGGATGCCACTGTTACTTTTCTGTTGTTACAATTATATTCACGCAAAATTCAGTTAAATTATTACATTAGTAAAGTACTGTTCTTGACAAATCTACACATCCTAAACTGAATATCTATAGAGAATGGTAGCAAAGGTTTAGCACAACCAATTAGACAGAACTGACGAAAAATTTTCATTTTGTAACCAGAGGAAGTAGTGCAAGGCATGGTTTCATCAACAAGCAACTTCCTATTTAAATGCTATGGTGCGCATACCATAGTTCATACCTAAAGATTAGATAGTTGGACCTCACGTGTGCTACTGAAATAATCTAACCAGATTAATCATTTTGGGGGTATAGATTCAACAGTATCTCATGCAGGATGTAAAAGCTATCTTCATCATGCAGGCAGTAAAAATTATCTACCTACAATCCTACATTAGTCATTTCAGACAAGACTGCACATATACATTCCCATAGAATCTATCCTAAGCCATGAATTTGCCAATAAACTCCCTATCAGCCTCTGAAGTACCTCATGCGGGCTGTAAATGTTACCTACCTATGTTAGTCATTTCAGGCGATACTATCTGGTTATCTGCAGAACTTTTGACTTGTGAGGCAGAACTACATTTGAATGATAGTTCTACTACATATTGGACACGTTGAGCCATGCATTTTATCAGCTAATGACAGAATTAAAAGCCTGAGCATTTTAGTTAGCCTTATTCCATAAACTCTAAAAGAATTTGACAGTCGGTATTGCATAACAAATTTTAGAGAACCCGAGATACAATAATTTGGATCGTTGAACAAGTTTTGCTACAAACAAGCTTTTTGGATACAAAGGGGTATTTACCCTTGCCATGTTGAAGGATGGAAACCGTGAGAATGCTTTGGAGAGAACATCATCATTAACTTCGTTGCCTAGATCTCCACAGAACAGCCGGTAGTCGTCTGCAAGTTGTTAAGAGTTGAGACACAAGGAAACGAAATAAGGGTGAGGCATACAACAAAGGAAACTGGATTAATAAGTTATACTTTCGGGCCAGTCAGTGAGGGTAGGATCCTCCCAGGATTGTCCGGCAGCGCGGCGGGGGATGGGCTTCTTGCTGGTAGAGGGATCGGAGGGCCTGGCGTTGGCGGCGGCGGCGGGGTCGAGGACGTCGCTGGTGGCGAGGGCAGCCTTGACGCTCTGCAGCGCCTCGGGGGTGATGGTCTGCGCGTCCCGCTGGAAGAGCTGATGCGCCTGATGCAGATGTTGCTGGTACTGCTGGTAGCTGCTCGCCGCCATAGGCGGCGGCATTTGCGGCGGCGGCTGGTGCTGCTGCAGGTGGAAAGGGAGCGGGAAGTAGCTGGCCCCCGCCGGAGCCGACGACGACGACCCAGGAGGCGGCGGGGGAGGAGGATTGACAGGCATGGCGGCGGATTGACTCGGGAGTGGCTCAGACGCCGCCGGCCGCGATCAAAGCGTTAGGGTTTACTCGTCGCCCGTCAAGCGCTGCCGCCCGTGCCCTCACCCCTGCATCTATGCGCCTGCTGCCGGCCTGCCCGCCTTCCGCTCGATCTTTCTGCGAAGCACGCGCGGCTAGGCTACGGATCTATGTTTTGGGGAGCAGAAGAAATTGGTGGTGATAGGATTGGGGATTTTCTAATTTCCCTCTTGGTTCTGTTTGCAATGAAGCTGGAAACGCTCTTTCCGCATGTAGCTCCAGAAGAAATTGGGGGTGATAGGATTGGGGATTTGGTTTTACGCCTCTGTTCTTTATAAGTACTCCCTCAACCACAAGAAAATTGGAGGCCTCCCATGCCATCAGACACTGTTCATGTATACGGTATACCTACGCCACGCATGTAGGGCTAGTTTGGATGAACCGTGGCCTAGTTGTCTGGGCTATTCACCTGCGAGCTGGCTGTATTAAGTTGCAAGATTGCCTGGCCAGGCAAAGCTGAAATTCAGACGTCGTTTAGTTGATGGCCTAAAAATCAGCCTCAGCCAGTAGAAAGGTCAAGCGCTATTTGGTTTTTTATTCTGCCTAGGTTACACTCAGTATTATTTGAAGTAATGAACTCATATGAGCTCTATTCATAATATTACACACAATGAGTTCTCAAGCTATATGCTAACAAATATTACAACTTACGATTAGATAATAGTTCATCGATATATAAAAGCACATCATGGCTATCCCAAGAGTCTGGCAGGTACCTCTCTGACCATCAACTTCGCCAGCACCTAATTAGCATCTAGTCATACTATACATATTGATTCCAAAAGGGTGCAGCAAAAACAAGACCCCATCAGCCATAATCAAAAGATCATGTAGCTACAATCATCCATAATCAGGGACCACCAAGATCACCACCAGATAAATGGTTGAACACCCAACGCTCAAGGTATTCTTGACCCATATTGATAAGGAAGCTGTGATGAACTTGAAATTCTGGCTTGTAAAGGTGCATTCCTACTGTAAGCCTATCATCCGGTACTAATGTGATCTTCTTGAGCATATCCCATAGAGAACCATTAGGGTCTGGAGGAGGTGCAACCTGCACTGGTTTTCCAAGGTTCTGTTGGATACCACGCAAAGTATTGATTATCTCCACATCCATATCATCATCAGCACAGGCAGGAGATGGTTTTGTGTTGGACTTACTGGCCCTACCAACCCGTGAAGCAACAGGTACTGTATTAGACTTGCCAAACCTTTTAAAATTTCTCTTGTTAGGCTTCATGGACTTCACACTAGATGAAGAAACTTGAGTGCTAGCTGCAGCAAGGGCAGCCACCTCCTGACACTCATCACTATCAGACTGTAGTTTGTCTGAGTCTTCCCTATGTGCATCATTTGTGTTATCGTAGTTAGCCATATCATTCAGCATGTCAAGTCTCTCGGTATCATCTTGGTTTGGATCAGTTGTAGTGGAAGGGTCTTGCATAAAAGAACCATCAATTGTGCTGCCACTAAATAATTCTTGCAACTTGTCAAAGAACTAAATTGGTTTAAACAGAATCCCATGGTCATTTGCCTACATAAAAACCAATAAGAATCATTTATGATAATGCATGTAAGATGACTACTTAGGCAGGAGATAATTACCGAGAGTTTGTTCAAAGTAGACTTGGAGAGAGTCACCATCTTGGTGTCATAATCCCAGCCACCGCCACTCTTATTCATATGCTTAGCCATAAGTCCCCAAGTATCCTTATGCCGCCTCCAGTGGCAATGAACTTGCTCCACAGTATAGGTAGTGTCATATTTAGAGTTCACTGTAGAGATACAGGCTGTGTGATGCATCTTCTTGAAAAAAGTTTTTGGAGGCATCGCCAACTTCTTCTCAATGTACCAATCAAGGAGAAATTTAGATATAGCTGGAGGCCAATTTGTAGCTTTTGCCCTTAGATTTGAACCTGCAGCTTTCTCACCTCCCTTGTCCTTAGCATTCATGCTACTTTCTCCTGTATCCATTGTCAACGAACTACAGAAAAATATTACAGTGAAGAAAACAGCAAGCAGCAATACAGGAAAATATTTTGATGAAGAAAACAACAACCAACGGTACATATATTTTGCTAATTAATAATAAGTCTTACAAGCTAAATAATACTTTATAAATGTATTACACCGTAAACAATAGTACATAGCATAGTGAATTACATCAATATTCAGTTCACATCAAATTAGCTAGTTCATCGCGCTTAGCCACCCATTGTCTGTTTTCTGCACCTTGATCTATTGCTACTCTAGTTGACCTGGGCAAAGTATTATACCAGAGTTCTTCATCATATATGATGTCATCAGGACCGTTGTCAAGGATCCAATTGTGTAACACACAACATGCTATATCAATCTTCACCTGTATGCTAAAGGGAAAATATGGCTTGTTTGCAAGAACTTTAAAGCAATTCTTTAATGTCTCAAATGCTCGCTCAACAGTTGTACGAAGAGAGGAATGTCGAAGATTAAACAACTCTTGTGGTGTTTTCTAGATATCTCCCACCCCCATACTCCTTCAAGTGATAGCGAACACCTCTATAAGGTGGCAATATACACGGTCTCGCTGCATACCCCGCATCAGCTAAGTAATATTTTCCTATAGCACACAAGATGACTGCTTTATTGCCTCATCAAAACTTAGTGTATGCCTTAAATCATTTGGACAAATATGCTAACCTTCAGGCAATGGAATTCCATTTGATCTTTTAAGGGCAACCCTTAGAACTACGGAGTCATGTGCTAAGCCCTCCCATCCAGCAAGCACATATGTAAACCGCAAATCAAAGTCCACAGCTGCTAGCACATTTTGAGTTGGGTAACCTTTACGACCTCTAAACCTGTTAACTATATTTTTAGGGACAAATGCGGGGATATGAGTGTCGATGTTTCACCACCGATAGCCTGCCACGGGGGTACCCGGGGCATTTTGTTCGGGCTTCAGCGTATGCGGAACTCGACGGTAAACGCAGGAGACAGTCGATTTATCCTGGTTCGGACCCTCGATTGTTGATCGAGTAATAGCCCTATGTCCAGTCGGCGTTAGCCTTGCGTTGGATTGATCGTGAAGTATTGTGTCATAAAGTCCCGTCTCTAGGAACCCTGCCCTCCTTTATATAGTAAGGAGGCTAGAGTCCTAGTCGGTTTACAATGAGAGTTCCTAGTAGGATTACAGAATAATAATACTACTAAGATTACATGAGAAGAATCCTAGTTAGGCTAGATCTTCTCCCTTCCTTGCGGGGTATCCCGTGGGTCCCGCACCGACAAGCCCCCGAGCACTTCATGGTTGAGCTCTAGAAGCCTCGTCTTGTTCCTTCCGGTCTTGCCGAGCAGGAACGAGCGTCGCCCGAGTGCTTTCTTGAGCGGAATCATGTAGCGCTTCATGAGATCTTCGCGTGGTGTGTACCTTTTTGAAGAAAAAAATACTCCCATTTGGGTGTAGCCCCCGAGCCTCTTGCTATTTGGCACAAGGAGCTGGAGGGTCTTCTCTTGAAATCGCTCTGATTCTTCGTTGAAGGGCTCCTGAGCATATACCCGGGTTCTTTATCAAAAAGAGCTCGGATATAGCTAGGTCCGGGTTCTTTTTGTCATGAGGCCTTGAAATGGTCTATCTTGAAGAAGTCTTTTTGTTGACGTGCGCTTTTTTTGAAGAAGAAAAAAAATGCACTCACTGAGTGTAGCCCCCGAGCCTCTTGCTATTTGGAACAAAAAGTTGGAGGGTCTTGAATCTTATGTTGTTTGAAAACTGCTATCTTGAAGAAGTTTTCTGAGTGATGTGTGCTTTTTTTGAAAAAAAAGTGCACTCACTGAGTGTAGCCCCTGAGCCTCTTGCTATTTGGAACAAAAAGTGGGAGGATCTTGAATCTGAGTTATTCAAAGGACTGAAAGCCTTTCCTATTGCAGCCCCAAGCATATACCTGGGTTCTTTTATTCGAAAAGAACTCGGATACAAGATCTTGACATGTTCTCTGATAGTCTGTTGTTGTCATATGTAGTTGTATGGTGGTGGTTGAGAGTAAATGTTGTTTGTTCATGAGTTGTATAGTGTTGGTATATTCTTCCGAATATGCTTGTTCTTGAGTACTACTCCTTCACGCCTGAGTCCTCTTTCATTGAATTCTGTCTTTTCACTGTGTCCTTTGTTAGGTTTGTTTCGTTGGTGCTCCCGGTCCATGTGCACCGCTTCTTTGGTCTATAAATACCCTCCTGGTGTGCTATTTTGATTCATCGAGCATTTTGTTGTGTGGTCTGAAATCTCCGTAGTCATGAATATGATAGTTTGTGAAGTAGAGCAGCCCCCGGGCGTATTTTGTAGTTCTTATGTATCTTGTTGTAGCTGGAGGGAGTCTTGTGATAGGGATTAGAGGTAGACTAATCCTGCAGCGGCATTGTACCGGAAAGTACGTGGCGGTAGTTGGAGGAAGTCTTGTGTTGTGGGATACGTTCCTTCATCCAGCAGTTCTGGGTTGATCCTCGTCGCCTGCCCTAAGACTGTCCGGTGTAGATCAACACCATATCCAGCATCACATCAGACTTGGAGCCTTCATTGATATCAATTCTGTGCTCAGCCAACTCTCTTGGGACACCTGGCATGTCGGCCGGCTTCCTAGCGAAGATATCTTTGTTGTCTCGAAGAAAGTTGGTAAGCGCGAGTTCCTATTTTGTCGAGAGGTGGGCGCTGATGGTTGCCGTTTTGGAGGGATCACCGGTGCCCAGGTCGATTTGCTTGACATCAGCTTCTTTAGGTGGTGCGAGGATGCTGGGTTTTTAGCAGGTATCTCTAGCTCTTCTGGGCTCATTTCTGCTACAATAGTGACTATTTCTTTTCTACCATTGGTGGCTTGTGCTTTTGCTGCAATTTGGATTGCCTGAACGTCGCAGTCAAAAGCGCGCTTCAAATCACTTTGAAGAGAAAGGACAC